ATGAGACAAACCAGGACCAACCTTAAGAGGCCTGGTCCAAGGTATAAAGGGACTGCCAAATACAGCCAGAATTGCACAATCTGGAGAGGATAAAATTGATGACTGGAGCCTTCTAAAGATTAAATCTTTGTGCTCATCAAAAACTTTTCCCAACAGGGTGAAAAGAAAAACCTACTAACGGGGAACAAACATTTGGCAATATCATCTCAGACAAGAGCCTCATAGTGAAAGTGTACAGAATCCTACAGAGTCTCCAGAAGAAAAAGACTGATAACTGAATTGTAAAATGAGCAGAAGACATGGAAAGACTTTTCACAGACGAAGATACATGGATGGCCAACAGACATGTGATGAAAAGCTCGAAATCACTGACAATAAGATAGCTGCAAATCAAAACCACAATGAGATAGCATCTCACCCCAGTAGGAGTGGCAAAGTTTACTACGGCAGCAAGCAATAGATGTTGGAGAGGATGTGGAGAGCTGGGAACTCTCATGTACTGTTGGTGGGATTGTAAAATGGTACAACCACTCTAAAAGGGAGTTTGACGTTTCCTAAAAAAGTTGACCATATGACCTACTGATTCCACTACTAGAAACTTACCCCAAGGAAATAAGAACTGAGACACAAATGAGAACTGTACACCAATGTTCATAGCAGCATTATTCATCATTGCAAGAACATGGAAACAATCCAAATGTCCAACCACAACTAAATGGATTGAGAAATTGAGGTACATTCACACAATGGACTACTATGCAGCTCTCAGGAGCAAAATGATTTCAAAAAATACTATGTAACTTGGCAGAGCCTAGAGAGCATTATGTTAAGTGGACTAACTCAGTCTCATAAGGACAAATACTACATAAGATCATGACTGTAAAACTAGAAGGATAACTAGTTAAACATGTATGGGCACCCAAGAGGGGGGAGAGGCCGGAGCAGAGGGATGAGGGTGGGCAGGGGCAAAACCACAGAGCTGCACAATTTGATCGGTGGAGGGAGGGGTTGAAGGAAATGGGAAGGATCCAGTGGGGACCTGAAAAGACAGGGTAATGATGGGAAAGGTCCAGTGGTTAATTTTATAAAACATAATGCATGAGAATGATTATATGAACCACAGTGTAAATGATGAATAGTGTAAAACACAGTGTAAACAAACTTTGTAAGCAAATCAATTTAAAATAAAATAACATCCTGCATGGGAATGACTGTATGAAACACAGTGTGAATAAAGAATTGTGTGCTTAAATAGTGTCAATAAAGCACAGACAAAAAAAAAAAAAAGAACGGTGTGAAACACAATGTATACAAATTTTGCAAGCAAATCAATATAAAATTTTTTAAAAAAGAAATATTAAGAAAACAACTGACTAGAAAAGCCTTAAAATAGGTATGTGCATTTTCAAATTGTTTCCAAGTGCTAAATACTTCAGAGTAAACGAATCACCACTACTAGAATAAAAAAAATGAACAAACTTAGATATCCGAATGGACTACATATTTTTAACCTATTAAGAGTTTTATCGCAGAAAAATAAGAGTTGAGCTAAGTAACATAACAGTGAAGAGAATGACGTCACAGTAAAACAATTCACTCAGTAAGTGCAATTAGTACTATTTTATAAGAAGTAAATAAAAAGTAACCTCAATGTTTTCGTGCAGGAGAAGGATGGGCAATCTCCTCCCATGCAATTAACTGCTTCTGAAAACCTGCCGGAGGGCCAGCTCTGGATTAGTTCTGACTTGATGGTACATAGGCTTTGATTTTTTGCCAGGTTGGCCTGGTTTTTGTTTTGTTAGTTTGGTTTGGTTGTTTTGGGGGTGTTGTTTTTTTTTTTTTTCATTTTAGACAATGAGTCAAAAAATTTCTTGGGGAAAACCTTATTTGGTACACCTTTTATTCGGTTAATGCAATTGAGCAGATCAGTCTGAATAAGTAGAGTTGTTGTTGTTTATTGTCGAGTCAGAACCAACCCATACTGACTCTCTGGCAGGTTTTCAGAGGCAGTTAATTGCACGGGAGAAGACTGTCCGTCCTTCTCCTATGGAGCAGCTGGTGGACTTGAACTTCAAGGCTTTGGGATTGCAGTACAGTTTCTTGCCAGTAGGCCACCAGAGCTCAATAGAGTAATATTCTTACAATGAACATGGCAAAGAGAAGTTTCCAGCGGAAACTGACGCAGCTCACCTGTCCGCTTCTGCCCAATTCCAGCTCCACTATGGCCACGGGCGTGTGTATCTGAGGACAGTGCCTGGACTGGGACTTGCTGTCCACTCTCCAGCTCAGGCGCCGGAGTCCGTTGTCCCAGCGGCTCTGGTCCATGAGGCTCTCCCGGATCTTCGCCTTGTGGCTCTTCCAGAATTTAGAAATGACGGCGGCCTGGTCGGCCGTGATGCCACCTTGCTTTTTGGTGTGAGCTGTCAAGAATGCCTCCAGCTGATTGGAATCCATGTCGGCAGAGGCAATGGACTGCAAAGATACAGAAAAGGCAGTAAATCGGAATCCGGCAGCTACTCAGAAAAGCTCAACTGCAGCTGTCACTTTGAGTGAATCTTAATCATTAAGTAAGCATTCAAAGAAGGTCACTAAAATACGAACAAAAATAATGCCCAGTGCAAATGTAAAATGTCAAAACAGCTACTGTGGATAATTCTCTACAACCCAATTCACTACAAATGCATAGTCTCTAAGTCTTAAATGTTCACTTCCATAGATGGTAAAAAATAAACCATAGGCAAAATAACATTAAGTGTTATCTGGTGAAAGTTGACACAATTTAGCCATCTCTTGTAGCCAGGCTTAGTTTGATACACAGAAACCACATAAATGATGCCGCCTTCATAAGACGCAGTAAGTACATTTTGTTAAATTCATTCATTCTTTTCATTTTGCTACCTATCTGCAGCCAAAGGATAATCATAGTGTTACTGCTCTGAAATTGCAGGTCACTTTATACTTTCCCCTGTTGTTGCTGTTGTTGTTAGGTGCTGTTGAGTTGTAGACAACTCACAGCGACCCTATGAACAAAAGGACTGAGGACTGTTCATAGGGTTTCCAGAGGCAAGCCATTTCAGAAGTAGATGCCACTCCTGCTTCCAGGCTTGTTTTAATTGGGAAGCTCCACCAAACACTGTCCACCTTGGGTAACCATTATCACATTTAACACATCAGTGTCACAGTGTTTAGCATCACGGCTACCATGAGTTACCCCTGTAAAGAAATGCACAGACCAGTGCCACCTAGAAGAATGTTTGACAAAAGACAATTTAAAATTCAATTTCTATGAAAACTGAGTTCTCCTATCAAGTAACCAAGAACACACGTTGCTGACTGCCGTCGAGTCATTGATGACTCATAGCGATTCTATGAACAAAAGATCTGAAGACTTTCTGTAACTATCCTCATTTCTCTAAGTTCATAGAGTTTCTGGAGGTATGTGGTTTAGGAAGTAGATGCCACTCCTGCTTCCGAACGTGTCTTAAACTGGGAGCCCCACCAAGCACTGTCCACCGTGGGCAACCGTTATCGCATTTAACACCCCAATGGCACAAGGTTCAGCATCACAGTAAACAGGGATTACCTCAATACAGCAAACTGACTGAAAAGTGCTGTGCCACTTAGAAGAATCTTCCTCCAAAATATAATAACAACCACCTTTCAAATACAAGGGCCCTCCAGGAGGTCTTGTCGACTCGAAACAAGAGGCTTAAATAAAAACAAAACAAAACAAAACACGCAACCAAACATTCCACATGACCTCAACTAAAACAAGGGCGCCTATCTTACAGAGTCCAGCTGTGTCACCCAGTCTCCACAGTAACTAAATAAAGGCAATGTCCCTACTGCAAATAGCAAATATGAACAAGATACAGTTAACGGTTTCACAGAGAAAGAGGAGAAGGGGTGTGGAAGAAGGAAGTGGCAATCACTAGGTCTGTGAAGATGAACGGGGAGGTGGGGGTAGAAGAAATTCATACGGTGCAATGGGGACTGGAGGAGACAGGGTGGGGGGATAAAAGTAGTAGATCAATACTCATGATATAAACTACAATGTACAGAAATTATTATATAAAACAAAATGTATATGAATGAAAGAAAGTATATGAATGTATGAAAGAGAATGATGGTGTAAGTTTTTCAAATCCAACACCTTACATTTACACAGTACCTTGAAAGTAACCTTTCTAAGCATTTCTACCCTATTACCTCACTTGAGATACATGATCTACTTCAAGGCAGGGCATCCATAGTATGAATTCCTCTTCCTTCCATCGGGAGGGACATCATGATTAGGAGGTAGAGAGGGTGTGACAGAGGCAGACCCTCCAACAGGTGGATTGACACAGTGACTGCGGCAGTGGGCTCAAGTGTGTCAGAGGTTGTGGTGATGGCACAGGACAGGACAGGGTTCAGATCTATTATTCAGATGGTTGCTATAAGCTGCACTCTACTCTATGGCACCTAACAACAACAACAACTAGGAAATGAAGCCGGGAGAAGAGATGATTTTCTTGAAAACCCAGTGGGATCAGCCAAAGCCTTTGAACTGTTGAAGTGGGTTTCCTTCTGATTACCAGTCATAAGGGACTACATACAGATGTCAACGTCGTGTCACCAGTAATGAAAAAAATCTAAGCTGGTACACTTTGGCCACATCAACAAATATAATAGGGAGATTATCAACCAAGTTCTTTTTCGTCTATTATACTGAAATTTGACAATCACCTCAGGAAGAGGCTTAAGACACTGAGCACTAATGCCTGAAGACGAGATGAGTTGTGGGATAACAGTAAGGACCTCATCCTGGAACAAAGTAAAAAGCCATTACAAAGAAAGAGGAGAAAAAAGTGACATCCCAAATCAAAGGGAAGAATGCCGACAAAAAAGAGATGAACCAAAGATTTCAAAGGACAGCTCAAGAAGATAAAGCAAAGTACTAAACAAAATGTGTAAAGAGCTGAAGTCAGAAAGTCAAAAGAGAAGAACTCACTTGGCATTTGTCAAACAGAAAGAACTGAAAAACAAATTCAAGCCATTAGCTGCAATACTGAAGGATGCTATGGATAAAATTTTGAAGCATCAAAAGAAGATGGAGGGAATACAGAGTCACTGTGCCAGAAAGAACAGGTCAACACTGAAATATTTCAGGAAACACCATATGACCAATGTTCAAGCTGCACTGAAGGCATTGGCAAAAAATACGACCCCAGAAATTGATGGGATAGATACCAATTGACATGTTTCATCGAACAGTTACAGCCCTAGACATGCTCACCAGGCTGTGTCAAGAAATTTGGAGAACCATTATCCAGCCAACTGACTGAAAGAGATCCATATCTACTCTCATTTCCAAAAAAAGATGACTGAACAAAATGTGGAAATTATGAAATAATATCACCTGCAAACAACTTACAAAATATGTCAAACAGTGCCTTGACAAAACTGCCAGAAATTTAGGCTAGATTTGTTGTTGTTGTTAGGTGCCATCAACTTGCCTGTGACTCACAGCAACTCTATGTACGGCAGTTCTGAAGTCTGCTCTGTCCTGAGCCTTTCTCTGACACACCTACCCCCACTGCCCCAGCCACTGTGTCAATCTGTCTCGTCTGGGGTCTTCCTCTCCCGCACTGTCTCTCCAACCTTCTGAGCATGACCTTCTCCAAGTACTGGTCCCTCCTGGCCACATGCCCAAAGTATGTAAGACAGAGTTTCAAAATTCTAGCCTCCAACGAGAAAACTGGTTTCACCCTCTCCAAGACAGACCTCCATGTTCTCTGGGCAATTCCTGTTCAATACTTCTCTCCAGCACCACTCAAATGCATCGATTCTTCTTCTGTCATCTTTGGTAACTGTCCAACTCTCTGATGCATAGCAAGTAACTGCAAAGACCATGGATTGGGTCAGGTGCACATTACACCCTAGACTGACATCATTACTCTTTAGTACTGTAGAGAGGTCCCTGACAGCAGACTTACTTCCCCACTGCAAGTTGTCTTTTGATTTCCTGACTGCTGGTCCCAAGAGTGTTGACTGTGGAGCCAAGCAAGCAGAAATTGTTAGCAATCTCACTCTGATCTACCATGATGCTGTCAATTGGCCCAGGGGTGCAAATCTTTGTTTTCTATTTTTTTTTAAATTACATTTTATTAGTTTTAATGAACATTTACAGAGATTTTGGGTTTTCATTCATTCATTGTTGCACTGTTTTCTCCACCCTCATCCCCAGTTCGTTCTTCTTC